GCCGCGATCCTGACCCACCTGTTCGGGCGCAGCTGCAGATCCCCACGCCGCTGGGAAAAACTAAATTGGTTGACCATGTTAAATTCAACTTTGCTAAATTGACTGAGGCGCGGGATGCTGCCATGCTAAATTCCGACCGGCGTCAGAAAGCTAATGAGCGGCTCAGACTGGGTCGCGCGCACGTGCTACAGTGGAAGCCGGGGGACAGGGCATGGCTGCACTGCCCCCAGGTACCACTCGCGACATCCTCTAAACTGGTGCGGCCGTGACGGGGCCCTGTCAAGGTGGTCGAGGTTTTGCGGCCTCAGTGCGTTCGCATCAAATGGGGGAAGCGCCGGTGGTTTGTGCACCCCTCGAGACTGAAACCATTCGTTGCGGTGCGAGGCCCCACTCCACACACGCGTGGCCAAACATGTGGGGGGTCGGCCGACTCAAAGGGTCCGTCTCTGCTGCTCTCACCTGACGTGTTGCCGGCTGTCCCGCCCACAGGTGCACCGGGAATGACGGGCTCGCGCCCAACCACCTCTACGGGGGATGCCGAGGGTCTCGCGACGTCAAGCGCAGACTCACTTCAAAATGGCCAGCTGCCACCGGATGGTCCGCCATCCGGGGTTGCCCCGTGTGACGGGCCTGCGGCAAGGACGCGCGCAAAAATGTGCAGACTCTTGTGATGCATTAAAAAGAAAATTTTTTTTTCACGTGTATGGTTGCTGTGTGCTGCGTCGGTGGGGTGCTCCTGCCACATTGTGTTGTGTTGCGTGTGTGCTAGGGGTTCCTTGCTAAAAATGTATATACGTTGCTCTTACGGAATTCGTATTTATTCAGGGGGGTGCGTCGGGTTATTTTCCATTCAGGGTTTGTTGGTTCTTGTTGTTGTTCTCTTCACGTTATGGTTAAAATTGTTTTTTGAGGCACACGCGGGGGTCAAGGGGTTAATAAACCTTTATTGAAGTTGTTGCAGCCGGGACGGCTGCGAGCTGTACAGGGGGGGGGGGGGGGTGATGTAGGGCTGTTACAGAGGGGCTGTTTGTGTAGGGCTGTATGCATAGGATCAAACGGGTAACAAACACAGTGGGCGGGGCTCCGTCAGTACACGGGGAGGTGCCCGCAACGACGTCCGCACCGGGCGGCCTGGGGGGGGCTGCCCGGGGGGGTTGTGATCCTCTGGGGGGTATAAAAGGGGATGAGCCGGAGAGCTCGAGGTTGAGTCTTAGAGTAAAAGGGGGAAGACGGAAGATCGACTAGCTAGGCCCTGGACTCCCCTGGGATGCCGCCCTTGTCAGGGCCGCGCAGGACCGAGCCAGTGGCGTGGTCCCGTGAACCAGAGTTAGTACTCTGGGACTCCGGGTACCGTAGCCCGACTGACCAGTGTCGGGCCAGATAGCATCCCCGTTAATGGAGGACTAGGGATAGGTCAGGGGTAGCTAGTAGAGTATTCCCAGCTATCCAGGTGAGGGAGCCGATACACCCCTCTAGTTTTGTATGTCCGCAGTGTGACTACTTGTACAAATAAATACGTGTGCCTTACAACGGTGTCCAAGCGTCCTCAACGGTACTTCATTAGTACAGGAGCAACGTTGGCGCTGTGGGTAGTGTTAGTTCCAGTGTTAGTACAGGAGTAATTTTGATGCTGTGGGTAGTGTTAGTTCCAGTGTTAGTACAGGATCAATGTTGACACTGTGGGTAGTGTTAGTTCCAGTGTTAATACAGGAGCAACGTTGGCGCTGTGGGTAGTGTTAGTTCCAGTGTTAGTACAGGAGTAACGTTGGTGCTGGGGGTAGTGTTAGTTCCAATGTTAGTACAGGAGCAATGTTAGCACTGTGGGTAGTGTTAGTTCCAGTGTTAGTACAGGAGCAACGTTGGTGCTGTGGGTAGTGTTAGTTCCAGTGTTAGTACAAGAGCAATGTTGGCGCTGTGGGTAGTGTTAGTTCCAGTGTTAATACAGGAGCAATGTTGTCACTATGGGCAGTTTTAGTTCCAGTGTTAGTACAGGAGCAACGTTGGCGCTGTGGGTAGTGTTAGTTCCAGTGTTAATACAGGAGCAATGTTGACACTGTGGGTAGTGTTAGTTCCAGTCTTAGTACAGGAGTAACGTTGGCGCTGGGGGTAGTGTTAGTTCCAATGTTATGACAGGAGCAATGTTGGCACTGTAGGTAGTGTTAGTTCCAGTGTTAGTACAGGAGCAACGTTGGCGCTGTGGGTAGTGTTAGTTCCAGTGTTAGTACAGGAGCAACGTTGGCGCTGTGGGTAGTGTTAGTTCCAATGTTATGACAGGAGCAATGTTGGCACTGTGGGTAGTGTTAGTTCCAGTGTTAGTACTGGAGCAACGTTGGCGCTGTGGGTAGTGTTAGTTCCAGTGTTAGTACAGGAGCAATGTTGGCACTGTGGATAGTGTTAGTTCCAGTGTTAGTACAGGAGCAACGTTGGCGCTGTGGGTAGTGTTAGTTCCAGTGTTAGTACAGGAGCAATTTTGGCGCTGTGGGTAGTGTTAGTTCCAGTGTTAGTACAGGAGCAACGTTGGCGCTTGGGGTAGTGTTAGTTCCAATGGTAGTACAGGAGCAATGTTGGCACTGTGGGTAGTGTTAATTCCAGTGTTAGTACAGGAGCAACGTTGGCGCTGTGGGTAGTGTTAGTTCCAGTGTTAGTACAGGAGCAACGTTGGCGCTGTGGGGAGTGTTAGTTCCAGTGTTAGTACAGGAGTAACGTTGGCGCTGGGGGTAGTGTTAGTTCCAATGTTATGACAGGAACAATGTTGGCACTGTAGGTAGTGTTAGTTCCAGTGTTAGTACAGGAGCAACGTTGGCGCTGTGGGTAGTGTTAGTTCCAGTGTTAGTACAGGAGCAACGTTGGCGCTGTGGGTAGTGTTAGTTCCAATGTTATGACAGGAGCAATGTTGGCACTGTGGGTAGTGTTAGTTCCAGTGTTAGTACTGGAGCAACGTTGGCGCTGTGGGTAGTGTTAGTTCCAGTGTTAGTACAGGAGCAATGTTGGCACTGTGGATAGTGTTAGTTCCAGTGTTAGTACAGGAGCAACGTTGGCGCTGTGGGTAGTGTTAGTTCCAGTGTTAGTACAGGAGCAATTTTGGCGCTGTGGGTAGTGTTAGTTCCAGTGTTAGTACAGGAGCAACGTTGGCGCTTGGGGTAGTGTTAGTTCCAATGGTAGTACAGGAGCAATGTTGGCACTGTGGGTAGTGTTAATTCCAGTGTTAGTACAGGAGCAACGTTGGCGCTGTGGGTAGTGTTAGTTCCAGTGTTAGTATAGGAGTAACGTTGGCGCTGGGGGTAGTGTTAGTTCCAGTGTTAGTACAGGAGTAACGTTGGCGCTGGGGGTAGTGTTAGTTCCAGTGTTAGTACAGGAGTAACGTTGCCGCTGGGGGTAGTGTTAGTTCCAGTGTTAGTACAGGAGTAACGTTGGCGCTGGGGGTAGTGTTAGTTCCAGTGTTAGTACAGAAGCAATGTTGGCGCTGTGGGTAGTGTTAGTTCCAGTGTTAGTACAGGAGCAACGTTGGCGCTGGGGGTAGTGTTAGTTCCAGTGTTAGTACAGAGGCAATGTTGGCGCTGTGGGTAGTGTTAGTTCCAGTGTTAGTACAGGAGTAAATTTGGCACCGGGGGTAGTGTTAGTTCCAGTGTTAGTACAGAAGCAATGTTGGCGCTGTGGGTAGTGTTAGTTCCAGTGTTAGTACAGGAGCAATGTTGGCGCTGTGGGTAGTGTTAGTTCCAGTGTTAGTACAGGAGCAATGTTGGCGCTGTGGGTAGTGTTAGTTCCAGTGTTAGTACAGGAGCAATGTTGGCGCTGTGGGTAGTGTTAGTTCCAGTGTTAGTACAGGAGCAATGTTGGCGCTGTGGGTAGTGTTAGTTCCAGTGTTAGTACAGAAGCAATGTTGGCGCTGTGGGTAGTGTTAGTTCCAGTGTTAGTACAGGAGCAATGTTGGCGCTGTGGGTAGTGTTAGTTCCAGTGTTAGTACAGGAGCAATGTTGGCGCTGTGGGTAGTGTTAGTTCCAGTGTTAGTACAGGAGCAATGTTGGCGCTGTGGGTAGTGTTAGTTCCAGTGTTAGTACAGGAGCAACGTTGGCGCTTGGGGTAGTGTTAGTTCAAATGGTAGTACAGGAGCAATGTTGGCGCTGTGGGTAGTGTTAGTTCCAGTGTTAGTACAGGAGTAACTTTGGCGCTGGGGGTAGTGTTAGTTCCAGTGTTAGTACAGAAGCAATGTTGGCGCTGTGGGTAGTGTTAGTTCCAGTGTTAGTATAGGAGCAATGTTGGCGCTGTGGGTAGTGTTAGTTCCAGTGTTAGTACAGGAGTAATTTTGGCGCTGTGGGTAGTGTTAGTTCCAGTGTTAGTACAGGAGCAATGTTGGCGCTGTGGGTAGTGTTAGTTCCAGTGTTAGTACAGGAGCAATGTTGGCGCTGTGGGTAGTGTTAGTTCCACTGTTAATACAGGAGCAATGTTGGCGCTGTGGGTAGTGTTAGTTCCAGTGTTAGTACAGGAGCAATGTTGGCGCTGTGGGTAGTGTTAGTTCCACTGTTAATACAGGAGCAATGTTGGCGCTGTGGGTAGTGTTAGTTCCAGTGTTAGTACAGGAGCAATGTTGGCGCTGTGGGTAGTGTTAGTTCCACTGTTAATACAGGAGCAATGTTGGCGCTGTGGGTAGTGTTAGTTCCAGTGTTAGTACAGGAGCAATGTTGGCGCAGTGGGTAGTGTTAGTTCCACTGTTAATACAGTAGCAATGTTGGCGCAGTGGGTAGTGTTAGTTCCACTGTTAATACAGGAGCAATGTTGGCGCTGTGGGTAGTGTTAGTTCCACTGTTAATACAGGAGCAATGTTGGCGCTGTGGGTAGTGTTAGTTCCACTGTTAATACAGGAGCAATGTTGGCGCAGTGGGTAGTGTTAGTTCCACTGTTAATACAGGAGCAATGTTGGCGCAGTGGGTAGTGGCGCGCTGTTGCCACGAGGCCGCGCTCTGAGGCCGCGGTGAGAAGCCGCAACGCGGAAACGACTCCTGTCGACCCCCTCGCTTCCCCCCTCCCACTCTTCGTGTCTCTAGCTGCCCCTGGCTGCCCCTCGCTGCCCTTCCCGCCCGTGAGGGTGTCCCATGGAGCTGAGTGACGCGGCCGGGCTGGACGGCCTCTCCCCGGGAGTCGCTGCGCGGCTCTGCGCGCTCCTCGACGCGAACGGGGGCCGGGGCTGGCGAGGCCTCGCCCGCGCTCACAGCCTCCGGTAGGCAGCCCTGCGCCTCGGGGTCCCCTCCGTGGTGACGTGTGTATGCCCCCCCTGCTGGCATCGCCACCATGGTTTGATGTATCGACGTTGAGCTCCTCTGAGTCGAGTGTCGGCGTCTGCGCAGGGAGGACGAACTGGAGATCGGCGAGCCGGGCCCCTCGGCGCGCCTCCTGTCGGCTCTGGGGGCCCGCGGGGTGCGGGTGTCCGATCTGGCACGGGCCCTGGGGGCCCTGGGGGCCATGGGACACGACGACGCGGCCAGGGCCCTCGGGCAGGGTGAGTCCGTGCCACAGTTGTTGTTGTTGACCTTCTGGCACAGGGGACCTTCTGGCATGGCTGCTTGATTTACAAGTGGGAGCAGTGTGAGGGAGGAAGTTTGGTGGTCTACAATACAGAATGGTTGAGTGGGTGAGTGTGTAGGTGGGTGAGTGTGTGGGTGGGTGAGTGTGTGGGTGGGTGTGTGGGTGGGTGAGTGTGTGGGTGGGTGAGTGTGTGGGTGGGTGAGTGTGTGGGTGGGTGAGTGTGTGGGTGGTGAGTGGTGGTGGGTGAGTGTGTAGGTGGGTGAGTGAATGAGTGGGTGAGTGTGTGGGTGGGTGAGTGGTGTAGGTGGGTGAGTGTGTAGGTGGGTGAGTGTGTAGGTGGGTGAGTGTGTAGGTGGGTGATAGGTGTAGGTGGGTGAGTGTGAGGTGGGGTGAGTGTGTAGGTGGGTGGGTGTAGGTGGGTGAGTGTGTAGGTGGGTGAGTGTGTAGGTGGGTGAGTGTGTAGGTGGGTGAGTGTGTAGGTGGGTGAGTGTGTAGGTGGGTGAGTGTGTAGGTGGGTGAGTGTGTAGGTGGGTGAGTGTGTAGGTGGGTGAGTGAATGAGTGGGTGAGTGTGAGGTGGGTGAGTGTGTAGGTGGGTGAGTGTGTAGGTGGGTGAGTGAATGAGTGGGTGAGTGTGTAGGTGGATGATGAATGATGGGTGAGTGTGTAGGTGGGTGAGTGTGTAGGTGGGTGAGTGAATGAGTGGGTGAGTGTGTAGGTGGGTGAGTGTGTAGGTGGGTGATTGAATGAGTGGGTGAGTGTGTAGGTGGGTGAGTGTGTAGGTGGGTGAGTGTGTAGGTGGGTGAGTGGGTAGGTGGTGATTGTGTAGGTGGGGTGATTGTGTAGGTGGGTGACTGGTGTAGGTGGGTGAGTGTGTAGGTGGGTGAGTGTGTAGGTGGGTGAGTGTGTAGGTGGGTGAGTGTGTAGGTGGGTGAGTGTGTAGGTGGGTGAGTGAATGAGTGGGTGAGTGAATGAGTGGGTGAGTGAATGAGTGGGTGAGTGTGTAGGTGGGTGAGTGTGTAGGTGGGTGAGTGTGTAGGTGGGTGAGTGTGTAGGTGGGTGAGTGTGTGTAGGGTGGGTGAGTGTGTAGGTGGGTGAGTGTGTAGGTGGGTGAGTGTGTAGGTGGGGTGAGTGGTGTAGGGTGGGTGAATGTGTAGGTGGGTGAGGTGAATGAGTGGGTGAGTGTGTAGGTGGGTGAGTGTGTAGGTGGGTGAGTGAATGAGTGGGGTGAGTGTGTAGGTGGGTGAGTGTGTAGGTGGGTGAGTGTGTAGGTGGGTGTAGGGGTGAGTGGGTGGTGGGTGAGTGAATGAGTGGGTGAGTGTGTAGGTGGGTGAGTGTGTAGGTGGGTGAGTGTGTAGGTGGGTGAGTGTGTAGGTGGGTGAGTGTGTAGGTGGGTGAGTGTGTAGGTGGGTGAGTGTGTAGGTGGTGATGTGTAGGTGGTTGAGTGTGTAGGTGGGTGAGTGTGTAGCTGGGTGAGTGTGTAGGTGGGTGAGTGTGTAGGTTGGTGATGTGTGTAGGTGGGTGAGTGTGTAGGTGGGTGAGTGAATTGATGGTGAGTGAATGAGTGGGTGAGTGAATGAGGTGGTGAGTGTGTAGGTGGGTGAGTGAATGGTGGGTGAGTGTGTAGTGGGTGAGTGTGTACGTGTGGGTGAGTGTGTAGGTGGGGTGAGTGTGTAGGTGGGTGAGTGTGTAGGTGGGTGGGTGTGTAGGTGGGTGGGTGTGTAGGTGGGTGAGTGTGTAGGTGGGTGAGTGTGTAGGTGGGTGAGTGTGTAGGTGGGTGAGTGTGTAGGTGGGTGAGTTGTGTAGGTGGGGAGGTGAGTGTGTAGGTGGGTGAGTGTGTAGGTGGGTGAGTGTGTAGGTGGGTGAGTGTGTAGGTGGGGGGTGAGGTTAGGTGGGTGAGTGTGTAGGTGGGTGAGTTAATGAGTGGGTGAGTGTGTAGGTGGGTGAGTGTGTAGGTGGGTGAGTGTGTAGGTGGGTGAGTGTGTAGATGGGTGAGTGTGTAGGTGGGTGAGTGTGTAGGTGGGTGAGTGTGTAGGTGGGTGAGTGAATGAGTGGGTGAGTGTGTAGGTGGGTGAGTGTGTAGGTGGGTGAGTGTGTAGGTGGGTGAGTGAATTAGTGGGTGAGTGTGTAGGTGGGTGAGTGTGTAGGTGGGTGAGTGAATGAGTGTGTGAGTGTGTAGGTGGGTGAGTGTGTAGGTGGGTGAGTGTGTAGGTGGGTGAGTGTGTAGGTGGGTGAGTGAATGAGTGGGTGAGTGTGTAGGTGGGTGAGTGTGTAGGTGGGTGATGTGTAGGTGGGTGAGTGTGTGGGTGAGTGTGTAGGTGGGTGAGTGTGTAGGTGGGTGAGTGTGTAGGTGGGTGAGTGTGTATGTGGGTGAGTGTGTAGGTGGGTGAGTGTGTAGGTGGGTGAGTGTAGGTGGGTGAGTGTGTAGGTGGGTGAGTGTGTAGGTGGGTGAGTGTGTAGGTGGGTGAGTGTGTATGTGGGTGAGTGTGTAGGTGGGTGATGTGTAGGTGGGGGTGTGAGGTGGGTGAGTGTGTAGGTGGGTGGGTGAGTGTGTAGGTGGGTGAGTGTGTAGGTGGGTGAGTGTGTAGGTGGGTGAGTGTGTAGGTGGGTGAGTGTGTAGGTGGGTGAGTGAATGAGTGGGGAGTGTGTAGGTGGGCGAGTGTGTAGGTGGGCGAGTGTGTAGGTGGGTGAGTGTGTAGGTGTGTGAGTGTGTAGGTGAGTGAGTGTGTAGGTGGGTGAGTGTGTAGGTGTGTGAGTGTGTAGGTGCGTGAGTGTGTAGGTGGGTGAGGTGTAGGTGGGTGAGTGTGTAGGTGGTTGAGTGTGTAGGTGGGTGAGTGTGTAGGTGGGTGAGTTAATGAGTGGGTGAGTGTGTAGGTGGGTGAGTGTGTAAGGTGGGTGAGTTATGAGTGGTGTGAGTGTGTAGGTGGGTGAGTGTGTAGGTGGGTGAGTGAATGATGTGGGTGAGTGTGTAGGTTGGGTGAGTGTGTCAGGTGGGTGAGTGATGAGGTGGGTGAGTGTGTAGGTGGTGAGTGATGTAGGGGGTGAGTGTGTAGGTGGGTGAGTGTGTAGGTGGGTGAGTGTAATGAGTGGTGAGTGTGTAGGTGGGTGAGTGTGTAGGTGGGTGAGTGTGTAGGTGGGTGAGTGTGTAGGTGGGGTGAGTGGTGTAGGTGGGTGAGTGAATGAGTGGGTGAGTGTGTAGTGGGTGGAGTGTGTAGGTGGGTGAGTGTGTAGGTGGGTGAGTGTGTAGGTGGGTGAGTGGGTAGGTGGGTGAAGTGTGTTTGGTGGGTGAGGTGTGTAGGTGGGTGAGTGTGTAGGTGGTGAGTGTGTAGGTGGGTGAGTGTGTAGGTGGGTGAGTGTGTAGTGTGGGTGAGTGTGTAGGTGGGTGAGTGGGTGAGTGTGTAGGTGGTGAGTGTGTATGTGGGTGAGTGTGTAGGTGGGTGAGTGTGGGGGGTAGGTGGTGAGTGTATTGGGTGAGTGTGGTGGTGGGTGAGTGTGTAGGTGGGTGAGTGTGTAGGTGGTGAGTGTGTAGGGGTGGGTGAGTGTGTAGGTGGGTGAGTGTGTAGGTGGGTGAGTGTGTAGGTGGGTGAGTGTGTAGGTGGGTGAGTGTGTAGGTGGTGTGTAGTGGTGTGGTGTGGGGGGTGAGTGTGTAGGTGGGGTGAGTGTGTAGGTGGGTGAGTGTGTAGGTGGGTGAGTGTGTAGGTGGGTGAGTGTGTTGGTGGGTGAGTGTGTAGGTGGGTGAGTGTGTAGGTGGTGATTGTGTAGGTGGGTGAGTGTGTAGGTGGGTGATGTGTTGTGGGTGAGTGTGTAGGTGGGTGAGTGTGTAGGTGGGTGAGTGTGTAGGTGGGTGGGTGAGTGTGTAGGTGGGTGGGTGAGTGTGTAGGTGGGTGAGTGTGTAGGTGGGTGAGTGTGTAGGTGGGTGAGTGTGTAGGTGGGTGAGTGTGTAGGTGGGTGAGTGTGTAGGTGGGTGAGTGTGTAGGTGGGTGAGTGTGTAGGTGGATGAGTGTGTAGGTGGGTGAGTGTGTAGGTGGGTGAGTGTGTAGGTGGGTGAGTGTGTAGGTGGGTGAGTGTGTAGGTGGGTGAGTGAATGAGTGGGTGAGTGTAGGTGGGCGAGTGTGTAGGTGGGCTAGTGTGTAGGTGGGCGAGTGTGTAGGTGGGTGAGTGTGTAGGTGGGTGAGTGTGTAGGTGGGTGAGTAGGTGGGTGAGTGTGTAGGTGGGTGAGTGTGTAGGTGGTGAGTGTGTAGGTGGGTGAGTTTGTAGGTGGGTGAGTGTGTAGGTGGGTGAGTGTGTAGGTGGTGAGTGTGTAGGTGGGTGAGTGTGTAGGTGGTGAGTGTGTAGGTGGGTGAGTGTGTAGGTGGGTGAGTGATGTGGGTGAGTGTAGGTTGTAGTGTGGGTAGGTGGGTTGGGAGTGTGTAGGTGGGTGAGTGTGTAAGGTGGGTGAGTGTGTAGGTGGTGAGTGATAGGTGGGTGAGTGTGTAGTGTGGGTGAGTGTGTAGGTGGGTGAGTGTGTAGGTGGGTGAGTGTGTAGGTGGGTGAGTGAATGAGTGGATGAGTGTGTAGGTGGTGAGTGAATGAGTGGGTGAGTGTGTAGGTGGGCGAGTGTGTAGGTGGGCTAGTGTGTAGGTGGGTGAGTGTGTAGGTGGGTGAGTGTGTAGGTGGTGAGTGAATGAGTGGGTGAGTGTGTAGGTTTGTGAGTGTGTAGGTGGGTGAGTGAATGAGTGGGTGAGTGTGTAGGTGGGTGGGTGAGTGTGTAGGTGGGTGAGTGTGTAGGTGGGTGAGTGTGTAGAGGTTGGGGTGAGTGACTGAGTGGGTGAGTGTGTAGGTGGGTGAGTGTGTAGGTGGGTGAGTGTGGAGTGGGTGAGTGGTAGGGGTGAGTGAATGAGTGATGAGTGTGTAGGTGGGTGAGTGAATGAGTGGGTGAGTGTGTAGGTGGGCGAGTGTGTAGGTGGGCGAGTGTGTAGGTGGGTGAGTGTGTAGGTGGGTGAGTGTGTAGGTGGGTGAGTGTGTAGGTGGGTGAGTGTGTAGGTGGGTGAGTGTGTAGGTGGGTGAGTAGGTGGGTGAGTGTGTAGGTGGGTGAGTGTGTAGGTGGGTGAGTGTGTAGGTGGGTGAGTGTGTAGGTGGGTGAGTGTGTAGGTGGGTGAGTGTGTAGGTGGGTGAGTGAATGAGTGGGTGAGTGTGTAGGTTTGTGAGTGTGTAGGTGGGTGAGTGAATGAGTGGGTGAGTGTGTAGGTGGGTGGGTGAGTGTGTAGGTGGGTGAGTGTGTAGGTGGGTGAGTGTGTAGGTGGGTGAGTGAATGAGTGGGTGAGTGTGTAGGTGGGTGAGTGTGTAGGTGGGTGAGGTGTAGGTGGGTGAGTGTGTAGGTGGGGTGAGTGATGCTGGATGAGTGTGTAGGTGGGTGAGTGAATGAGTGGGTGAGTGTGTCCGTGGGTGAGTGAATGAGTGGGTGAGTGTGTAGGTGGGTGAGTGAATGAGTGGGTGAGTGAGTGGGTGGGAGAGCGAGCGAGTCAGCGTTTGAGGGAGTGTATTGCTGTGACCTGCAGTGCTCGTGGTTGAACACTGTGGACGAGATGACATTGTGACAGGTGGAGGGATAGACGAGTGAAGCTTGCGTGCCGTGCGTGGCTGCGTACCGATAGAACCGGTGTTTGTGGAGTGGTGCTCGGAGTCACAGCAGGCCTGGCGGGGAGAGTCCGTCACTCTGGGGTGCCTTGCACGTGGCAACCCTCCACCACGGTTCACCTGGTTCCACGGCAAACACGAGGCGAGTCCCACGTTGGCACCACGTGTGTCCACCGCACTGCGCATGATTGCATTGCCAAGGTGTTTGCGGTACGCCACGGATGAACGCCAACGTGCGCACCGACACGCAGAAATCACAACACGGGCGAGCAAACAAGACGCCCCCTCCTTACCATAGCTGCCCCTCCACAAAATACAAGTACAGTGTTTAGTACACGTACCATCAGCCACACGACCTCCCTTCTGGGAGTGCTTCATGTCAGCCGCGTTGGTTCAACTCTGCACCGGTTTTGACATTCAGTGTCTCATCAGCAGAGTCAGACTTGCTTGAGCCAACGCTGGTGAACTGCCACAACACAAGATAATCATGAGCGTCGTTGTGGATAATATAAGTAACACAATGAATACGCAGACAATGCCTCCCCCTTCCCATATATGAACTTCACTGTTGCCGACCCCTTTGCCTCGTCAGATCCCGGACGCCGTGGGCCCTGAGCTGCTGCTGGCGTCCGTGTTGCCGCGTGACGCCGGTCACTACACATGCCGCGTTCACAACGAAGTCAGCTACGGCTTCACCGACTGGATCAGGCTGAGGGTGCTGGGCGACCAAACGACGCCAGGTCATTGCCACGGTTAGAGCGCAGCACTACGAACCCGGCGACCCAAGTTCAGTTCCCACTCACTGCCAACACCAGTGCAAAACATCTGAACTCCGGCCTGGGCCTCCCCTTCGTCGGACTCGGTCCGAAATGAGTACCCGGTGCTGTGTGAAAACATAAGCACGAGGGAGACAAAGGTGGCCAGGCATGAAGCTGACCAACCTCCTCCTCGTGTCAACTTAGTGTCAACCTAAATAGGTGCTAGCTAACATGACGTTTGTCTTTGTGTGTGCGCATGCAGAGAAAAGACCTGGTCCTGTGGAGCACTCGGAGGCCACGGGGGCCACGCAGGCCTGGGGTCCCCAGAGCCCCTCACAGTCGCCCTTCTTACCCCTCGGTACAATCCGCCAGGTTGCACCCCACTGTCAGAGCAGCTTTGCGCAACATAGCCCCAGTGTCGCACAGTCTGCAGCATGAGGCTCCTTCAGTAATGCGCAGCCTACCACCATATCCGCGACCTCCATTTGCGATAGCGTGGTTGCGGAGGCAGACAATTCGCCTGCTTCCCTTGTTTGTCTCTCCACGTAAACATTTTAAGTATTTTGTACACATCCTATCAGTCACGCGGCCTTCCATAGTTGCATCATTTCAGCAGCATTGGTTCAACACCAACACCAATGCTGGACGGGTTTTGACATTTGGTGTCTCAATAGCAGTTGGGCTTGCTTGATCCTTTGCATGGTGAACAGGAGACGTATTGTCTGCTTACTTATTTTGTTATATTCCCTACAATGATCCTAGTAATTATTCTGTTCTTTGTATTGTTTAATTTTGGGTTGAACTATGACCCATAACTAACAGAGAAGACCGTTGCCTATAATATTTGGCAGTACCAGCATTGGTTAATTAATGGTTCCTATACTTTCAGATGCGGAGTCAAGTTCCTTCCAGACCACGTTTTATGGTAAGGTTTAGTTCGTGTCATTGTAAGATGCAGTGCATGTTGGATTGTGTTTATATTCAAACAGATTTTTTGTACTAGGCCACGTAATCTGGCCAAATGTTATCGTGTAAACCCTCCATCACCCGGCACAGCCAAACAGATATAGTTGTCACATCTGCAAACTGCTTAATGTGCACCACTCACTTTTGTGTCAGTTCACTCACCCGTGAGCTAAAGAACGATTCTCTGTTCTCTGACAATTGTATTTGGCTGCATCAGGTGGCGGCTGGTCCATACGACCACATCTGGCCAGATCGTCACGTGGTCTAACTAGGAAATCAATAATAAATCCTACCTCCAGCTGTGAAGACTTCCACGTTACTGCTATAGGCACTGTATTTGACTCTTATGTCCTTGTTTGTGTACAAATTAGCACAATACCGTAGACACCCTACGTCTGTTTAATGCTTCTTTAAGTTAATTGTAATTGTGCTGTAATTGGTCTAAACACAATCTGCCGGATCCAACTTGCGCTGCAGAGAATTATTATGTAACACTGATTTATGTTTAACACGTAGGCTTTTGCAACCAATATTATTCATAATCAACTTTTTGGGTTAGATCGCGATCTAACCCAAAAATGTTGATTATGAACGCTGATTTATGTTTGTCCAATAGTTATTTTTGCTCCGATTTCCCATTTGCATCATTGCTGTATTTTATTTTATTTGTTTTGCACATGAAACTAATCCAGGTCTCTTCAGTGCTGCCCACCTGGTTGCGCGGCGTACATTTGAATGCCACTACAATGCCATCTCTACTAGGCCTGCAGCAGCAGCGGCTCATTGCGTGCGCATTTCTTTTGTCATCACAGCAACGGAGAAGGTGGCGCTGGTGATCGGCAACTTGAGTTACCGAAACCACACCGCCCTCCGCGCCCCCCTGGTCGACGCCCGTGACCTCACGTCGTTGCTCCGCGTGCTCGACTTCCGGGTCGTGACCCTCATTGACCTCGACCTCCAACACATGCGGCTGGCCGTGGCGCGATTCCTTGAGCTGCTGGACGAGGGCGTGTACGGTGTGTGCGCCCTGCGGCAGCACCCTGCAGCAGCACCCGTCAGCACCAACTCTGACACACGGCACAGCTCCACCCAGCACAGTGACACAGTGCACCAGGCACAGTGACACCCTGCATTTCTAATGCTGGCACCCAGGACAGTGACACCCTGCAACATGTGTTATGCAACACACAACACGAAGCCATCACTCGTGTCGCTGTGGAGAATATAAGTAACACGATGAATAAGCAGACGATGCCTCTTCCTTTACACAAGCAAACTCTGGACAGATTTTGACAATCACTAAGGATTTGCATTTGGCTCGTATTCCCTCATCTGTTCACACATGAGTACAATAGTCACCCTGTATCTCGTTCATATTTCTGTAAATTCACATTGTACTTATGCTGTGATCAGTCAAAGCACAATCTTCTCATGCCGACTCATGCTACAGGGAATTTATTATTAAACATAGATTTGTGTTTGTGCAATGTCATGGGATACAATTGATTTTGCTCTGATTTCTACTTGCTTCATTGCTGTACTGTTTTTGTTTTTCTTTTGTCATTGCGGTGACCCAGGTCACTCGTGTAAATGTGACTCATCCTGGTCTCTTGAGGTCTCACCTGGTTACACAAATTAACTTCAAACTTAGTTTCTCATTAGCAGAGTAAGGTGTGCTTGAACCAATGCTGGTGAACTGACATATAGGATAGGCATGGACCCTTTGTTTAAGATACGGGCCTGAGTTTAACGCAGAACTACATGGCACTTATAAGGTCGCACTCATTACACACAATGTGCTTGCCACAAATGAACCACAAAATCTTGCTGATTTCATCAAGGAACATAAACCATCATGCTAACTCCGGTCATTCTCGCAGAGGCTTTTGGCTAACCATCAAACAAAGATGGGCACTGCATCATGCGCTTTCAAATGCGCTTCTGCAGCTGTCTGGAATGCTCTTCTCTCTGATATTAAGAAGCCACTGGAGCGATGCACTTTCAAATCTAGATTGAAAACTAATTTCTTTTCTTTTTAGTTTGTTGTCCTTCCTTCGCATCTTCGATTTGCATAGTTGGCTACGTACCATGCGAAAGAAGTTCAACATATATACTTTACGCAGAATGATAATTCGCGTCTCCATGCTGACAGGTCTGCTCTACTTCGCGGGTCACGGCTTTGAGAACTATGGGCAGAGCTATCTGGTCCCCGTGGATGCGCCGAGGCCCTACCTAAGCGAGCACGCGCTCAGCGCTACCACCATCCTGCGGGGCATGCAGGCCCGGCGCACCGGCCTCAACGTGCTGCTGCTCGACATGTGCCGCAAGCGGTACGTGCGCCGCAGTGGTGCCATCTCATTTGTCCGGTGCGGTGATTTGTGACCCGACGGGAATCGTGTTTCTGGGTCATTGTTTAGTGTTTTATGTTTCACCCATAAATCCCATATACACCCATACACACAATATACAAAGCAACAGACTTGTTGGGGCAAGTGCTGTTAGCAAGCAGCTGTTAATGCCAGCGTGCAAATGAGGAGGGTCGCCAGCACCACGCCTAGCCGCCTTTGTCTTCAGAGTGCCGATGTTTACACTTTGCCATCAGGTATTCATTTAAGGCTGAGTTGACATAGGGGAGACCATTTCAGATATTTGTAACTAAATTTGGGCATGACAAGGAATTGCACCTGGGTCGCCTGGTTTCTAGCACAGTGCACTAAACACTGTGCGGTGTGGTGTGGTGTGTTTCGTTTGGTGTGCGGTGCCCTGTGTGTGTGGGGTGCAGCAACGTGCATGAGTGCACGGTGCCACCCGTGGAGACACTGGAGGTGACGGCCAACATCGTGTTTGGATACGCCACGTGAGAATGGTCACGGGAGGGGAGTACGTGCAGTGATGGGAGAGCAGTCACGGCAGGGGAGGGCAGATACAGAGCAGTCACGGGAGGGGAGGGCAGACGTGAGAGTGGTCATGGGAGGGGAGTGCATGCAGTCATAGGAGAGCAGTCACATGAGAACCGTCACGGGAGGGGAGGGCAGTCATAGGTGCGAAAGCCAGTTACAGGAGTGCAGTCATGGCAGGGGAGGAACACGGGAGGGGGCTACTTACGGAGGGGAACACATTGAGGGGAGTGTCGTGAAACGTAGGAACTAGAGTTGGCCCCTTCCCAACCACAGAGCAAACCGGACAATTATCTCTGTCGGCTTGGGTCTACCAGAGCTGCGTAGTCACTGCAAGAGAGTCCAACACAGCAATCCCGGTGCCAGATCTCAGTACAAATCAGTTGCTACCACCAGAACACAGATGCCAAATCGGAGCCTCGTATCTAAGTCCGACCCAGACAGGTGGTGACCCTAGGGTGATCTATGACGGCAAATGCTCCTGCTTAAGGAAAGGGTTCAAGTTTCAAATTATGTGTAAGGATAAGTCTCATTTGCAAAATGACCTGGGTCACCACAGTGACAAAAGAGTACAGTACAGCAATGAAGCAAATAGAATCAGAGCAAAGACAACCAATGAGTCAAGACCAAATAGAATTCAGATAAAAAAAGTGCATTAAGTAAACAATTAAAAACAGTGTACAACATTAACAATATCACATTTAGTAAATGTACTGTAATGAAAGTCGGCTCTGACAAAATTCCGTTCACAGTAGAATTAAGTCACATTAAGTTACAATTACGCTACAATTACGTTACATTTGCCCAGACTGGCCAAAGGGCAGTCTAGGCAAATGCCCGGTGAGCCAGTCCATTCCGTAGGTCAATGGGCTGGTTTGTGTGGGGAAATTGCAAATGTGATCAGAGTAAAAAGAATAGATGTTGTAAAATTCAATAATTTTACAGTATTACCTCTAATGTGTGCACGTCATTGCTTATTTACTATCTCAGTTGGCATTAAGTCCTCATATTCGGCAGCCCCAAAGATTCTTCCTCACCGGCCAATTTGTTTTTTGGACCCAGTCCCAAATGGGCCAATGAAATCGCACGGCAAAATAACACTAAGTCGTCACATTGCAAATCTAGCAAGTATACAGTTTGTCGAACAACCCATTTAACAAATAAAGTAATTATAAAAATAATACCCATAAGTTCGTCACTGGTTACAGAACTATCAGCCTGGATTCAGGGTGCTTATTGCATTGAGTCAACAGGCAAGTGCAACTGCTGAAGTTATCATGCAGAATCGAAAGCTCGACCACACATTGGGGAAAGTAACCATGGACATTTTTGACGAATTGGAATTTCAGGCATTGGGGGCATTAACAGAGTTGCATGTGGTCACCTTCCCTCCCATGTGCTAGCTGCCAGGATGCAGAGGCCTACGAGCTGGACGTGGGTCCAGGGGAGAAGGCCGGCGTGGCAAATGGCCTCTTCATGCGCTTCCTCAAGGAGCGGCTGCTGGAGGACCGCAAGGTGACGGCGATGCTGGATAGCGTCGCCGAAGGTACGGTGCAGTGCCACGGGCAAGTGCCCCCCGGTACTCTAGAACTGACTGCTCACTCACCGATCCTCATGATCAGCCCACACCAGGGCCTGGACACACAAAGTCAGGGGACCCTATAAGGGTGGACACACATGACAACAGCCGCCAATCGCCACTAAATGGCGGTGACGTCACCACGGCACTTGTGCCAGGACAGGTGCACTTTGAGTGCATGCTAACAAAGACAAGATCCTCTGTATAGCCTTAACAGGCTGTTGGGGCAAGTTCTGTTAACGGGCACCTGCGAAGACTGACATGGTACACGAGGGGGTGGGTGTCCAGCACCATGCCTGACCACCTTTGTCTCCGCAGTGGTAATGATTTTTACACACCGCATCAGGTAATCATTTGAAGCTGAGTCGACCTAGGGGAGGCCTAGGACTGGTTCATATAATCGCCACTGGTGCTGGCCATGAGCGGGAATCGAATTCCAGCCGCCGGGTTCGTAGCGCAGCGCACTAACCACTACACTACCGCTTCCCACACACACGCGTATACATGCATGTGAACATGCATCCACTTTCACACTGGAAGTCGCTGCATCCACCTCCTCCGTGCCCGTGTGGCACTCGATCTGCTCTCCTCGTCCTCGCCCCAGCTACCACACAATCAACAAGCAGATGAGGTGCCTGATTACGTCCCATTTCAGTCCCTCCACGCAAAAAATATTCTCGTTTTTTTCTACACATCCCCTCAGTGCATAATTCCAGCATCATTGGTTCAACACAAGCAAACTCTGGACTAGTTTTGCCATTCAATGTCTCCTCAGCAGTCAGGCATGCTTGAACCAATGCTGGTGAATTGCCAGTTGTTTATAGGTAAGGATCCTTTCTGGTAGATATGGGTCCGAGTTCAATGCAAAACTACACTTGGGCTACGCCCACTTTTAAACCTTTCTAAACAGTTGCATTCGAGGCTTACCCCCCTTTTCTCTCCGCCTGATGACGACTGCTTGTGTTGCGATCAAAACGTCTTAGTTTTTTTTGCTTATTTTATTTGTATTAATTTGAACCTACCTACATGACTTTACTGAAAGACCCAAATAATTTACAACACACAACGCAAAGCAATCATTGTTGTCATCATGTAGAATGTAACTCAATAGATGAGCTATGTGAAGGAGGCTGGCAATTGTCTGTTTATTGATTTTGTTACTTATCTTCTCCACAACAATTCCCGCTCACGACTAACATCGGTGACGAATATCTGAACAGGTCCTGGGCCTCCCCGAGGTTGACTCAGCCTTAGTACAGGTGGTCTCCGGTTTACGACGATCCACATTCACGACGTTATATAATGCCATCATGGTTCGATTTATGATGCAAAAACATGATTGACGACGCATCTTCCGACGTGACTCTGAACACATTTGAACAGAGTTGGTCTGCTTTCCGATGTGACTTGGCATGGAGCTTTTGTTATTCTCAAGTGTTTTTGTAGATTTTTTACCTCTTAACCCCTGTTAAATATTGCTGATAAAAGGAAAAAGTATGTTTCTACTGTTTTGACTGTCGATGGGAATAGTTGTTACAGTCTGTGCGGTCCCCCTTCTTAAGAGGCGGACCACCAGGAATAGGGTCTGATTTACGACGGGGTTTCCAGGGACGCATTGTAACGTCGTAAAATTGGGGATTGCCTGCCTGTATCTGGATAGATATGCGCCTGTGCGTGGTGCCGACCACACCGCTCCCTCGTGCGCCGTGTTGGGCTTCATAGTCACTCGCTCACCAAGGTTTGTTCAGGCTTTAGGTGGGGATCTCCTTCTCTGCATGCGTGCAGACATGGGCCGCTGTAACCTGGCACGCGGGAGGCAGGCGCTGGAGATCCGGAGCAGCTTGTCTGAGCGGCGTGCCCTCACCGACCCCCGCAGACCTGCCCAGGGCTTCCCTGCGCGCTCCATCTACCAACGCTGGGCGCAGGCGCACGGTACCATGCGCGTTTTAGAGCACAGTGGCCTAGCGCAGGCCCAGGGACTCACAACGTCAAGCAGCCAGCAACAGATAGCACCATCACAGTTTTAATAGAGAAGAGTGTTACACGTTTTTTGACTTGAGCAAGGTTAGTTATGACAAGAGCTTGGGAAAGAGATAATGGAAGGGAATTCCACAGTGAAGCAGTTCAAGGGAAGGAACAGAAGTGAGGTGACCTGCAGTGTGGTGAGTAAGTGAGAGAGTGAGTGGGATAGTCGGTGAATCGGTGAAGGAGGGGGTGAGTGAGTTGGTGAGTGAGTGATGGTGCCAGTGAGTGGGTGAGTGAGTAGTCGAGTGAGTGTGTGGGTGAGTAAATGATTGGATGAGTGAGTGCGGTGCCTCAAATATTGGAGGAAGAAATCACCCTCTGTGAGTGGCTGGCTGAGATGTCATCTGTTGAGGATGTCCTGAAGGCGATCCAGAGTCTGAGACCAGGAAAGGCACCGGGCAGAGATGATCTCCCAAGCGAAATGCTGAGGGAGGGTGGCGTTTGTGCACAGACTGCCCTACATGACATCATAACAACAGTCTGGACCACTGGACGGGTTCCTCAGGATTGGAAGGATGCTCTGGTGGTCCCCCTCTTTAAGAAGGGGGACCGCACAGACTGTAACAACTACAGGGGCATCTCACTCCTCAATGTTCCGGGAAAGGTCCTGGCAAGAATTATTCAACATCGCCTTTCCAGGCACGCTGAGGAGAGGCTTGCAGAGCCCTAATGTGGTTTCAGGAAAGGGCGGTCCTGCACAGATGTAGGGAATTGTAACAAGACTTACATCTCTGCTTTATTGATCTGGTCAAGGCCTATGATACCATCAGTAGGCCTGGGATCTGGGTTGTTCTTCGTGCTTTCGGAGTCCCTGACTCTCTGCTCACAATCATTAAGGACCTTCATGATGGTGAGCAGGCCCGGGTAAAACTACGTGGCCGGGAGTCGGAGCCATTCCCTGTTCACCTTGGGGTGCGACAGGGATGTCCTCTGGCTCCTACATTATTTAACATCTATTTCGACCACGTAGTTTGTGAAGACTTTGATTGCTGTACTGGAGGAATTTCCATCTGGTACAGATGCAATGGGAGGCTGATCAATGCCCAGGTGCGGTCAAGGGATGGCTCCCTATTGGTTAACCATGTTATGTATGCCAATGATCTGGTAATTTCTGCTCACTCAGAGGAGGAGTTGAGGCGCTGCTGCTGAACCTGGAGCATGCCACTAAGAGGTGGGGCCTTATCATTAGCCCCACCAAAACTAAGCACCTGCCTGGGTATTTTGTACCATTGGACACTCCACCCCCACAACTCCCAATTGGTGATGGGGCAGTTGTGGAGAGAGTGGAAAGCTTCCCATACCTGGGCAGTGTGCTCATGAGCGGCTCCGTTTGACAGCAGAGGTCTCACTCCGAATCAGTCGAGCGGCATTATCTTTTCATCAGTTGCATAATGTGTGGAAGCTAGCTGGTCTGTCGCTCCACATGAAGCTTCAGGTCTTCTCGGCCACAGTTATGCCCTACCTTATCTACGCTTGCGAAACGTGGACCCCCCTAATGGAACATCTTCACCGGTTAGAAACATTTAGGCTGGCCTGCCTATGATCCATCCTGGGTTTAACCAGGTTGGGTTGTGTGAGGAGCTCACAAATCCTTGAAAGATCTGGAAAAGTCCCATCGGTGAGCTCCTCCGGCGGGCAAGGCTGCGTTGCCTGGGTCATGTAGCCCGCATGCCCAGCCACCGCATGCCTAAACAGCTTTTGTTCGGCCAGATTGAGGGGGCTAAACGGGTGCGGCACGGGCTAGAGAAGAGATGGAGTGATATAGTACAGGAGGATGTGGAGCTGAGTGGACTTGCCGATGACTGGTACCAGCGGTGCCAAGATCGGCCTCTGTGGAGGAGGGTCGTGAAGGATGCTACTGGGCAGTTGGAGGCAGTCGCCCTCCAACAACAACGGAGGGTGGAGAAGTGATGCTCACAACAACGAGTGGAGCACCGGGTGGCTAAAGTAGAGCAAGTTGGCACAGTAGGGGGTACAGGTGGTGGATCGGCCAGTCATCTCAGTCAGTCGACCCGGGGCACCTGGATCTGCCCCGTAACCTACTGCCAGCGGGCGTTCGACACTTCACGTGGCCTCAACGTGCACTTAGCCTGGCACAAGCGCCGTGGTGACGTCACCGCCAATTAGTGGCGAATGGTGGTTGTTGTTGTTGGATGAGTGGGTGTCTTGCTGTGACCTGCAGGGTGGTGGTTGAACACAGCATAGATGAGATTAAACAGGCAGCACCTGGTAGAGCCTTCAACCAGAAAGAATGCAACAATGTATGTTTGTTATTTATTGGTGTAGAGCTCCAATTAAAAGCTTTAAATTTGAAAACCGCTTGCCCCCCCCCCCTTTGAGATTCTCCTCTGTCACTGACTCCCATGCCCCTCACGGTGCCCTCAGAGCTACCCCCCAACCGCACGCGCGAGTTTGACTCGGGCTGCCTTGTGCACCTGGGCTTTGCTGCCGAGTTCTCCAACGTACTGATGATCTACGCACGCGTCCTGGAGCGCGGCGCCGGCGTGGTCTCGTGCCGCGCATATGTCACCGACCTGCCGGACGTGAGTAGTGTGACGGCCACTCGCATGCGCCGAGCGGCCACGCGGCAACCCGGCAACACAGCAGCGTGTTCCCCGCATGTTGAAGAGCTACACGGTTTGATTCCGGCAGCCACCCTGACTAGTACTGCGGTTGTGTATTAACTGCAATAATACTCCGCGCCGTCTGCTTCACCGTGGACGTTCAGGATCCCGTGATGTTATTCACAAGAGAAGGCGATTGTGTGCCAGGGTCACAGTCCAAATTTACCAAATTCAAAAATTAGACTGAAAATTACGCGGTTGGGATCACACACAGCAGCAATCATAGCCTCCTAATGGCCACTGGGGATTCCCTTTGAGATGTGTTGAGATTACTAGATGTTAATTGCTCTGAGATGCCCCGGTGTACAGGCGGGCGGCTCTATCAAAAACACAACTCGTGACCATTCTGCTTTGAGGACCAGCACCTGGTAGGCCATTGTGAATCATGGCTATGACAGCACTTCACCAGACACCACCAGACAGAATTACAGTTGATGATCGATTATCTGGTGTCTTATTATTCAGCTTCCAACATTATCCGGCGGTCCCAGGCCCATCAGGCAAAACCGGCAAAACCGCTCCAAAGGTTGTACCAGTCCGGCGATCGACGCCATGTGCGTGACAAAAAAAGTAACAATGCTTGATTTAAATGTCAAATATAAACAGTACATTATACACTACATACAACTTAAGCAATGAAAATACTGCACGTATATAAATGTTTCATGAAAAATAGGTACAGAAATTAAAACAGAAATTTTTTTGTGCAATCCGGCGAAAAGTGCATGTAATTCGGCGTTCACCGGAGCACCGATCTAAAGGCTGCATCAGTCAAGCGATCGTCAGATGAGTGGTTTTTGAAACAGCCCACTACATACATTACTCCATGCAGAGTCTTCGAGATTGGTGTGGTAAGTACGGTATAGTAAATGCAGTAACTTTTTACAGGAGGATATTTATTATTGTCTATTCGTATGTTTATTTATGCCAATTTCAAATAGGAAACTAATTTAAAACTCTAAAAAGCATATACACAACACCCTAAGCATAATGTTAGACAAGAATGTGCAAAAAAAGCTATATTAAATCATGATGTGATTATATATCTGGATTTTTTGAAAATCTGGCTCCCCCTTCCCCCCGAAGCATCCGGATAATCGTTGATCTACTGGATTGTCCACCTTTACACAGACTGGCAGCAGACAAATTCCCCAGGCCACTCTTGCAAATGAGGCTCTTCCTGGTCTCTTGAGCTCTCACCTGGTTACACAAATCTACTGGAACATCGCTGTGTAGTGACTTAGGTTACTAATCCAGAATAGATGTTTGGATTGGGCCTCGTAATGATCTGGCCAAATTCAGTTGCTGCGTGGTGCACAATTGATGTGACAACGGGTCGCCGGTTATGATTGTTTCAGCTCACTCACCGGTGAGAGGGCAATCCTCACGGCCATATTTAGCAGCGATTCGATACGAGATGCTTCACGTGAAACTGCATCTGACGCCATCAGGACAGGATCCAGGGAGTCAGAATAATAGTGACTTCGTCACATGTAAATCCACACGCACAGACAAAGATCTCCCGTGTAGCCTTTAACAGACTCTTGGGGCAGGTTATGTTAGTTTGCACCTATGAAGGCCAGCATGACACACAAGGGGGTGGGTGGCTAGCACCACGCCTGGCCGCCTTTGTCTCCCCAGTGGTGATGTTTACACACCGCACCAGGTACTCATTTTGAGTTCGTTCTAGGGGAGGCCCAAGACCAGCTCAGTTAATAGTCATTGGTGCTGGAATAAGACTCGGGTCGCCAAGTTCGTAGTGCATTACGCTAACTGCTACACTACTGCTCCTCACGCACGCCCACACACGCACACACATGCACACGTGGACGTTTATGGCAGGAGCTGGAAGTGGATGCTAAGATAAGCAATCTGAGTAGCCTGGAGGTGTCCGGCAGCGAGGGATCGGTACCTCACCGCCCGGCAGAGCCGTGCTTCTCCACACGTGTCACAGGACTGCAGCACCTGCGGGTGAGCACACCCACTGCCCAAACCGCTCACACAAACCACACAGACCACACCGCCCACACCGCTCCCTCCAACCAAAACAACCACACCACTCACACTAACCACCCAACCACACCGCTCACACCAACCACACTGCCCACACCAACCATACCCCTCAGACCAGCCAAAGTAACCATACTGCTCATATTAAACACCCAACCACACCGCTCACACAAACCACACAGACCACACCGCCCACACCGCTCCCTCCAACCAAAACAACCACACCACTCACACTAACCACCCAACCACACCGCTCACACCAACCACATTGCTCACACCAACCACACCGCTCACACCACACCAATCACACCAACCACACCGCTCACACCAACCACACCAATCACACCGCTCACACCACACCAACCACATTGCTCACACCAACCACACCGCTCACACCACACCAACCACACCGCTCACACCACACCAACCACATTGCTCACACCAACCACACCGCTCACACCACACCAACCACACCGCTCACACCAACCACACCGCTCACACCACACCAACCACACCGCTCACACCACACCAACCACATTGCTCACACTAACCAAACCCATCAAACCACCCACACCATTTACACCGCACACACCAATTGGACCATCAACACCATCTACAAAACCCACACAAATCACACCAACAACACCGTCCATACCGCTCATGCCGCCAACTACATCCACACCACCCACACTAATCACACCGCGCACATCAACCGCACCAACCACACCAACAACACCGCCCACACCGCCAACTCCACCCACAACAACTACCCAACCCACACCGCCCCTACTGACGGCGCTGCCCCAGGGCGCTGTGTCACCGGGTGCGGTCACTATGAGCCGAGTGAACGCGTGTCTGTCGCAGGGATCGCTGACCTTCTCCATAGTCCTCGAATGCCACTATGGGGAGATGGACATGATGGAGACTTGGGCCCTGGACATCGGCACTCCGCTGGCCGCCCAGCTTGGCTCCGCATTGCCACCGCACACGCCGAACCTCACGCTCCCTGCGTCCCCCATCTCGCCGCTCGCACGGCCGGCTGCTCCCTTCGCCGACTGTGCCATCAGGTCCCCCTCCCTCCCGTCCTCAGCGGGGTTTGGGGTGGCTAAATCACCCAGTCGCACGGAATCATGGAGCTGGGGTTCGTACGATCATCGCCACGCCGGTCTTGTGTCATCACCACTGCCGCAGTCACCGCTGTCGAATGCACCGTCCCCCCGCTGGGATGTAGCATGGCGGCTATCCGAGTCGAGGGACGGTGATGGTTGAGGCTGGACCGCAACCCTCGCCGCACGTCTCGCGGTCAGGGCCAGTACTCAGGAAGACTTGGGGTGGGCCCTAGTGGGTCATGCCCCACCTTTTGCCCATCCAGGTTCACTCTCCTTGGCGGTGAATCATTGCTATGGTGTCTCCCACATGACAGCTCTTCTGCCCCCCCCCCCTCCCCCCATGCTGAGAGATGGAGCCAGGCTTAGTCACGGTGGAGTTGCCACTGAAATCGTGAAAGGGAAACTCTGGTAACCACTTCCACCATCGCGCGTCATGGCTGTGTACTCGTTTCCACATAAAATGAGGGATGTGAAAGGGTTTTTCTGTGTGTCCTCACTCGATTTCTTCTCGAGCTCGGTGTTATTAAAACGTCGACTGTGCCAGATATACTGGATGAGGTGTGCCGGGTGTGAAACTAGTTAATTCAGCCCTGAACTTTTCCATGACATTACAATAAATAGGCATTCTGTCTGATACCATCTGGGTTGGGAAATACCATTAGTGTCCACTACGGGCAAAACGATTGGCATATATCCCTGCGGTGTAATATATATTTGCCACAAATGAACCACAATGCTGATCTCGTCAATGAGCATAAACCAGACATGGGCAAAGTACGGCCCGCGGGCCGTATACGGCCCGTTGGGCTTTTTAATCCGGCCCACCGAACTTGTCCAAACATTTTTCGATTTAAAGCTTTCGTGACTGCAGGGATTCATCTTCTTGGTTCTTTCGGTAAAGTCCAAATATTAATCAATTAAATTTTACCTTCCTCCTGTAATGCCCCCATTTCCCCATTAGATGGCGCACTTTGACCGGGAGAGATAGAGAATATTCGTATGAGCAATTCATGTTTCTATTGAAAGTAAGTTAACAGTAATATTTGGATTAAGTATTGTTTTTGGAAGCATTCACTGTAATATCGTATGAACGTTTACTTCACCGCATCATCGTATGAATGATGCGAGAAGAGATTAACGGGTTCTTATGTTAGCGATTTATGTACTCGGCGCTTTCGCTCTCTAAATTACGGCTTGAATGAGGGGGAGGGGTATGACTACATCACAAAATTAATATCTTACTAGGAATTTTATATAACAAAAGTTATATACATAACTGTTACGCTTTGTGTAATTCAACAAAACTTAACTCCGAGTTCTCTCCGAATTTCACGAGTCCGTTCTAGACCCCACAGTTTTTTCAAAGCGTTTTAAGCACAGAAAACATAACGTTAGAAAAATCATTAATTATACAAACTTTTCAATAATTTCCTTCTTCACTTCGATTTAAATTTTCTTTAAAAACTTCTCACCAACATTACCACTCATTACCACTTTCTCCGAAGGCAAGTTTGTAAAAGAATACATGGTACAGACAGCAGACATCTCGTGTCCAGAGATCAAAAGCAAATTTGAAAAAGTCAGTTTATCACGCAGGACTGTGACTCGCCGTGTGGAACTGATTGATAAAAATATAGCCAGTCAAACAAAAAGTCTGATTCCTTTGAATTATATTCACTAGCACTGGATGAAAGTACGGACGTAAAAGATACTGCTCAGCTCCTCATTTTTATCCGAGGCATTGATGACAATTTTTCGATAACAGAGGAGTTTTTGACCATGGAGACCCTGAAAGGAACAACGCGGGGAGAGGACTTGTATAACCAGGTATCTGCTGTCATCGAAAGAATGACGCTACCTTGGAGTAAACTTGTCAATGTCACAACGGATGGATCGCCAAATTTAACTGTAAAAAATGTTGGGCTGCTGAAAAGAATCCAGGATAAAGTGAAAGGAAAATCCTGTCCAGGATCTTATTTTCCTTCACTGCATCATCCATCAGGAATCCCTGTGTAAGTCTGTATTGCAGCTTAATCGTGTCGTGAATCCAGTCGTAAAACTTGTGAACTTTATACGAGCAAGGGGACTTCAGCACCGTCAGTTTATTACGTTCCTGGAGGAAACTGATGCGGATCATCAGGACTTGCTGTACCACTCCCGTGTCTGCTGGTTAAGTTTGGGGAAAGTGTTACAACGAGTGTGGGAGCTGAAAGAAGATATTATCGCATTTTTGGAGTTGATGGGGAAATCTGACGAATTCCCTGAGCTAAGCGACAAGAACTGGCTTAGTGACTTTGCGTTTGCAGTGGACATATTTTCACACATGAATGAGCTGAATGTGAAACTGCAGGGGAAAGATCAGTTTGTTCACGACATGTACAAACATGTGAAAGCCTTCAAATCCAGCTCACTTTGTTCTCCGGACAAATTGCGAACAAATCTTTCGCTAATTTCCCCACACTTGCCATGCAGGAAGAGGCACCGCGAAACGCAAAAAAATACAGCAAATCACTTGAGGACCTGCACGGAGAATTCTGCCATAGGTTCTCTGATTTCGAAAAATTGAACAGTCACTTCAGCTGGTGTCCTGTCCCCTGTTACAAGACCCTGAAACAGCACCACAGGAGCTGCAGTTGGAACTGATAGATCTTCAGTCTGACTCCGTCCTAAAGGAGACGTTCAACTCTGTTAAACTGAATGACTTTTATGCTTCACTTAACAGAGCCATGTTTCCAAACCTCCGGAGGACTGCACAGAAGATACTGACTTCGTTTGGCTCGACTTATGTGTGTGAGCAGACATTCAGCGTCATGAACGCCAACAAAGCCCGTCACAGATCAACGTTAACGGATCAGCACCTCAGATCTATCCTGAGAATTGCCACAACCAAAATAACTCCAGACTTGGATGCACTGGCAAAAATGGGAGATCAACAACACTGTTCCCACTGAAACTGAAAGTGATTATGTGTTGCTGCAGCGAGGTTGGAGCCAAATCTCCATCACACAGCCTGCGTGGCTGCTCTAACCTGTTAATGTAGATAATAAAGTTCAAGTGAGGTAATTGGTTTGGGCGCAGGCCTCAGATGTTTTCATGATGTTTGATCAGTCACGTTACGACATGTTTTTGTATTGTTCATGTGCGTGCAATTTGTTAAATTGCCTTGCAAATAAATGCTTTGCTACCTGTTAAAGGCCAAATCCTTTCATGTAATGATTTTTACATGTCATTTATATTAGTTCACACAAACACTCCATCCATCTGTTCCTGGCCCGGCCCCTCTGTCAAATTTTAGAACCCATTGTGGCCCGCGAGGAAAAAAGTTTGCCCACCCCTGGCATAAACCATCATGCAAACTCCGGTCATATTCACAGTGGCTTTTGGCTAACCATCGACCAAAGACGGTCACTGCATCGTATGCTTTTAGATGCGCTTCTCCGGCCGTCTGGAACGCTCTTTGCGATATTAGGAACCCACTCGAGCAATGCAGTTTCAGATCTTAATTGAAAACGAATTTCTTTAGAAATGTAAGAATAGGTTTCCCCCTTTTTTTCTGGCAACAAAACAGGTGTTAAGTTGTTAAAACACCAAATTGAAACCTTTTTTTATGAGCAATCATGTCTGTATTAACCACAATACTTGTGGTCAGAATGCAAAAAAAACATACTCTGATAATAGATGCATTGACCTTGAAACTGATTGGTCCACACCAGAGACAGCTTTCTTTTGAGCCTCGTCTCAAACGGTGTTAGGCCAAAAGGCGTCCTCTGGTCTAATACCTTTTTTCATTTAGTTTGCTGTCCTTGCCCCACACCTCCGATTGTCACGATTGGCTACGTACGGTGTGAAAGA